ACTTCATGACCAGGTTCAACAAGGAAAGACTTCAGATTCCCGACCTACACATAACTGCAGCGGTTTCTGCCCTCACATATGCCATAAAGTGTGAGGCCTTCAGGATGTCTTTATCCAAAACTCCGCCAAAGACAGTGACCGAGCTTCTTACCCGAGCCGAGAAGTACATAAATATGGAGGAAACACTGAACCCGAGAAAGGTTGGACCGTCCCACGATAGGGTCGAGCATAAACGACAGCACGATCCGAACCCCCGTGAAGAACAACATCGGAAAAAACAGAGGCAGGAGGTTCCCCCGACGCCGTTCACGACTTTAAATACGTCAAAAACCAATATATTGATGGAGATCAAGGATATGAAGGAATTGAAGTGGCCTGTCAGAATGAGGTCACCACCCGAACACAGGGACATGAACAAATACTGTGAGTTCCATCGGGACCATGGGCATACCACAGAGAACTGTAAGGCCCTACAACGGGAGATTGAAGCCCTTATCAAAAGGGGACTCTTGAGTTCCTACGTCGGTAACGACAAACGCCCGAGGAATGATCGTGGCAGGGAAAGTGCCCCTGAGGTAAAAAGGGATGGTCAACCCACTACTGGAACCATCAATATCATCATTGGGGGTATTGCCTCGGGAGGAGACTCCAACAGTGGAAGAAAACAATATTCCCGACAATATGTCTTGGCGTCTGGGATGCCTCATGGAAAGCTGGAGGATATTACTTTTGGGACCGGGGACTTAGAAGGTGTATCACTTCCACATGATGACGCCTTGGTAATCTCAGCGATTGTGGCCAATTTTGAAGTGAAGAGAATCCTGGTTGACAACGGGAGTGCGGCCAATATACTTTCACAAGAAGCTTTTGCCAAAATGGGAATCTCATCTCACCAGCTCAAAGCGGTTAAAACTCCTCTCCAGGGGTTTGGTGGAGGAGTCATCACTCCAGAGGGTGTCGTTGAGCTTCCACTAACTTTGGGTTCTGGCCAGAAACAGGTTACAGAGATGACATCTTTTCAAGTGGTACGTGTCTCAATGGCCTATAACGCAATTCTGGGAAGACCACTCCTGAACAAGATTAAAGCCATTGT